TAAAAATACAAAAATTAGCTGGGCATAGTGGCATGCACCTGTAATCTCAGCTACTCAGGAGGCAAAGGCAGGAGAATCGCTTGAACCCTGGGGGCAGAGGTTGCAATGAGCTGAGATTGTGCCACTGCACACCAGCCTGGGCCACAGAGCAAGATTCTGTCTCAAAAACAAACAAAAAAGAAAAAAAAGAAAAAAAAATCCCAGGTCATACAATTCACAAAAAAATCCAAGATCTCTCTTATTGAGAGAGGACTTAGTAAACTCTAAAAATAAAAGCAATTAAGCCAATTTATGTAACTGATTAGGTGAGTAAAAACACAAGCTTAATGAAGGAATTTTCTTATAGCAATTGCCTGTTTTAAAACATGGGTCCAATTTAGATGAGACAGAACACGCAGGGCAGTCACCTGTTAAGCAGTGTCCCGGCCTGCTGCTTATTCCTCTACATCTGTCTGATGGGAGAACTGAAATTTGGGGTGCTATGGGTACCTCCTGCTCATATCCAGGTGGCAAAAACCACCCAATGCTTCTTATGCAGAAAAGAAAACAAAAATAGGTTCATGAAAACCCAGACAGTGGAATTCCAATTTGTTCCTGATCCTAAGGTCTCATAATTTGAAGTTCATTATTTGTTTCATAATAGTCTCTCCATAATATCCTTTCTTGCAACAACTTTTCTTCTTTTTTTCCTATTCAGGAAGTTTTAAATGACACAATTTCCTACCCTGATGGCACATTCATGGATTGGGAGTTTAAGATCTCTGTCTTGTATGACATTGCTAAGGTAAGAGAAACACACACACAGAAAATATGAAAATTAAATATAAGAAAACAGATCTAACAAGTTATTCAACCTTCTGTGCATTGGTTTCTTCATCTGTAAAATGATAATAATAGCTATGTCATAGGGTTGTAGGATTTTAGGTTGTGAGGATTTTGTGAAATAATGCACGTGCTTATAATAAGACCTGGTATAAGGAAATGTTCAATATATATCAGTTATTATTATGTTGTTATATTCTTTGTAGTCTGGGTGTGGGGCACGCAGTTTCATAGATTTTCCAGAAATCGAAATCATATAAGACTACGAGAAAGACAACTGGGCTGGGCGCAGCGGCTCAAGCCTGTAATCCCAGCACTTTGGGAGGCTGAGGCAGGAGAACTGCTTGAACCCAGGAGATGGAGGTTGCTATGAGCCAAGATGGAGCCATTGCACTCCAGCCTGGGTGACAGAGTGAGACTCCATTTCAAAAATAAAAAAGACAACTGAATCCTCAACTTTATAAGAGAAAATATTAAGTACAGGAAACCATCTTGCAGGAATCAATAATAAATGTGGACATGTGTATTTTCAGATGTGATAGGAAAACAGAAGTGGACATGAGTCACCAGGGCCTCATTCAAGAATGAAGAAAAGTTGGTTATGAGAGGGAGCTGTTTGATACACTCTTAACCCACCTGAAAGTTATATGGGTTCAGAATCAGTTTGAAAAATGCGTTACGAACATCGATTTGCCACACGCATTTCACTCCTATGATCCAGGCTGCAAACCAGCTTCAGCTGAGACACCCTCCAACCACCAGAGAGAAGCACATCAGCCAAAAACAGGCTTCCTCTGTTTTTCTTTTTTGAGACGGAGTCCCACTCTGTCCCCCAGGCTAGAGTACAGTGGCGCGATCTCAGCTCACTGCAACCTCGGCCTCCCAAGTTCAAGCGATTGTCCTGCCTCAGCCTCCCGAGTAGCTGGGCCTCCCAAAGTGCAGGGATTACAGGCCTGAGCCATTGCAAGGGGCCAGGCTTCCCCTTTTGAAACAGAATGAATGAAACATTGTTTCAAAATAGGATGAAACCAGTTCCACTTTAGGAAATAATCTAGCCTGGCACCCCTGCCCCTTTGGAAAGACAAGGCACTATTATTTGTATGTTTATTTTAAATTCATGTAAAAAAGGACCAGAGACCTACCCAGGGTCACGGTGGTAAGTAGAAACACTTTAAAAAAAAAAAAAAATCAACCCTTTGCCTCATATTATATACAGCTACTTAAGCAGAGATTTTAGACAATTCCCTTCTACTCTGTCATTTAAACAGACTTTGAAACGAGATATAATGTGTAGGCAAATATTAGGGCTTCAGTAACATTAAAGTAAAAATAGTGGGACTAAAATTAAAACCTGATGGTGTGACTGTCTGCTGAAATGGTTTCCAAATGTCACTTTTTTCTTTAGAATAATGAAGCAGCTGAAGTGTGTCACATTTCTGTTTTTCTATCATCTGAAAAATTACAGGGAATGTCATATCTGCACTCCAGTAAGACAGAAGTCCATGGTCGTCTGAAATCTACCAACTGCGTAGTGGACAGTAGAATGGTGGTGAAGATCACTGATTTTGGCTGCAATTCCATTTTACCTCCAAAAAAAGGTCTGTAATGAATGAAGTGTTCACTAGTTACCTAACTGATTTTTTTTTTCAAACCCATGTAGCATGGTCAGGAAATTGTAATACTGATCAGAAGATAAGCACTTAAAGCCACAAGAGACAACAGCTGGCTCATTCTCCAGACCTTCCCACTTGTCAGTCAGCAGGTATTTCCTGAGTTAAACAAATGTCCTCTGTGGATTTCCTTCATCCATGTGTCCCTTGATATCACTGAGAAATCATGAATAACTTAATGGCTTGTAGGATTTGACCTAGGTGAAAAAAATACAGAAGGTTGGAGCAGGAAAAGACCTTAGACATCATCTAATTTAACCTTTTTCCTTTATGGAGGACAGCACTGAGACTCAGATTTGTCCAAGAAGGTAGAGTACAAACCAGAGGACCGACTTTCCATTTGAGACATCATTCATTTATCTGTGGCAATAAGAAATATTAAGGAAAAAACTCTAACCAGTAAAATATATTCTTACCTCTTTCAGGATTGTGGTGAGAGTCAAAAAAGATAACATAAAGAAAACAGATTTGTAAAGTATAAAGGGCTTTTCATGTTGAACATTTACTATGACTCACAGTTAAACAGACTCAGATATCTAGCACTCACGTTGCCTTGAAATACTACCTAGATCAACCGGGCACGGTGGCTCACGCCTGTAATCCCAGCACTTTG